AACAGTATTCACTGAATCATAACCTACTCTAGCGATTAATAATTAACCTCAGATCGACCTATTCTGAGCCAGTTAACAGTATTCACTGAATCATACCCCACTCTAGCGATTAATAATTAACCTCAGATCGACCTTTACTGAGCCAGTTAACAGTATTTACTGAATCATACCTCACTCTAGCGAGGGATACTATAATCGATAGGATGTTATTAATCCCTTTTCTCCCCAGATTTGATTGGGTCGGGTTTCGGAAGCGCGGGAAGGTGGGCGCATTTCAGACTTGCTACCACTTTCTATTTGTCCACACCATAAGTAATCTAAGTCGATCTAGTCTGGAGTCGTGCGGACCGTAAACAAGCTGTAATCAACGAGTGCGCGATCTTTCTGTTGGTTGTTTTGATCACTAAGAACTAGAAGTTTTTATCGTTTTTGTTGTTTTTGTTATCATAAAAAACACATTGACATAAGTTTTTTATGTGTCTGTCCTCTTATTGACGACACATTTCGTCATCACATTGTCAAAGTAGTATGCTTATCCACTCGGCTACGACAACGTGATGACGCAATTTATAGTCAGGATTTTCAGAAGGTTCGAAAGTCTCCACATTTTGTTTGAGCCACCGAAACGCCGAACGAAAGGAAGAATTGAAAAAGCGACATTACGTTTTATTTTTCCAATCCTACAAAGCCGCCATTTTGTTGTCACGAAGGTGGGCCCTGCCCCCCTTGACGCCCCCCCCTACCTACGCCCATGAATTTATAGCAATCGTAATGTCGTCTGCACGTATACTGACCACAAATTCTACAGCTTTTCTTGCAGTTTACTCTCATGTAAGCAGGATTCCTACTGCATTCTCCAATGGAAGACCAGTATCGACAACTTCGGTGATTATCCACGCAATTTACTATTAAAAGAGGAACAAAAAGAACAAGTATTAGATTGTCTGCCGTGAATTTTCATCTTAAAAATTTTTTAAAGTGATAATATACTGCAAATAAAACAGGATTCATTGTTATTTTATAACTCTGATATTGTTCTTTATTGCGCTACAAAAAAACAAAAAAACAAAAAAACAAAAAAAACAAAAAACAAAACAAAACAAAACAAAACAAAACAAAACAAAACAAAACAAAACAAAACAAAACAAAACAAAACAGGCCAAATGCAACGACGGGAAATGTTGGGTGCAACAACAACATTGTACCCGAAGACAGCCCTTTCACATGTAGCTGAGTATACACCTATTGCTTTGTCGGTCGGAGATTTGAATGGCTTAAATCTAAGTCCGAGGAACGCTGCAACGCTGTATATTAAATATTAAACAACCTAGTTTCTCTTTAGAGATTGGAATATGAAGCATGACCTTTGGAATATGATCTTTCGCATTTTGGCAAGAAAACATCAAAGCACAAAAATTCCGTTTAGTTTCAGACCAGCCATGTCAGATCTCCGACAGACGTCTTTTGAAATAGGTGTACATGTATGTGCGCAACACATGTTGTCAAATTTCTTCGTTTGCAACGTGCGCTACTAACCGAAATAGTGTGATGCTTTTTTATCTAACTTTGCCCCAAGTTCAAAATACGAAGGCGGAGGGGGGAGGGGAGGGGGGATGATAAAATATAGATACATGTTCTGAGACAGGTAAATCGCAACAGCTAATGCCAATCACTGCGGACCCTGGTATCATCATTTCATTTTTGGTATCATCTCTCGCTTGAATATCTTGTGGCCCGAAAGAGGGGCAGTTTTTTTGCGCACAACGATTGCAAAGTGTATTCGAATTTCAATCTTCCGCTTCTTCTTACAGGCATGTTTCGCCTCTCTTAATAATGTTAATTAACTTAGGCCTCATGCTGTAAACACGCTTGTAAAAGCTGAAAAAAATAGTAAATACCTGGAGGAGGAGGCTGCGTAGGAGGATTTGGTGGAGGTGTTGGGGTTTTTGGAGGTGTTGGGGGTATTGGTGGGTTTGTGTCGGGTGGAGGCGTCTGAGGTGGTGGTGGTGTGGGCATGCCAGTATCGGGTGGAGGCGTCTGAGGTGGTGGTGGTGTGGGCATGCCAGTATCGGGTGGAGGGGTCTGAGGTACTGGAGGTGTTGGGGGTATTGGTGGGTTTGTGTCGGGTGGAGGCGTCTGAGGTGGTGGTGGTGTGGGCATGCCAGTATCGGGTGGAGGGGTCTGAGGTACTGGAGGTGTTGGGGGTATTGGTGGGTTTGTGTCGGGTGGAGGAGTGTCAGGTGGTGGAGGTGAGGGACAGTCTGTAGTGGGTTGAGGTGGTGCTGGGGTATCAGGTTTGGGCGGGGTGGGTACTACTCCAACTGGTCTCTTGGTTCTGAAGTCCATCAGGATGCCATTTCCATCTGTCATTTAAAAGATAAGAAACACAAGTTAGAGGTAAAAAAGGAATGTCTAGCCTAAGGTTTGTTGCTACTTGCTACTACAGTTGTAACATTTCAGTGTTCGTATTGTTTAGTTGATTTGGCGCATAAGTTATTTAATCGCCCAGTCCGCATATCATCATCATCACATCACCATCACACATACTTTATCATCATCATTGCCATCGAACATAACGTACATCATCATCATCGTCATCGTCATCATCATCACAACGTAGATAATCATCATCACATTATAACCACCATCATTGTCGTCGTCAAAATTTTATCATTACCATCTTCTTAATCGCCTTCGCCATCATAACCATCGTCATCATCGTTCACCAACACCTACATCATGACGTATTATCATCATCACATGATGACCATCATCATCACCACCTTACCATCGTTGGTATCATTACTGCTACAGTGATTTAAAAGAATCTAAGTTGGCTTACTTCGATCACAATCCATCTTGAAATGATAGCGATGTGCAGGAAGATTTCCAGCTGCAAGTATACCAAACATGAATAGGGAAATAGGATGAATAAGTAAAGAATAATACTTGCCAACAAAAGAGCTTGTCAATAATTACATATATATGATTTAGGGGTAAAAAGCAAAGCACATCGACGTTAGCAACTCAAGGTGAAGAGGGGTTCAGAGGAGAATATACTGATTTATTCCGTTTCTCCCTTCCCTTCAGCTGCTATGCAGACTATACTTTTGCACGCGTAGTAGTGGCTATAGTATAACCAAGTTTTCAAATCCTACCCACTTTAAGGAACTACCGCGACGCGTTTCCTCCCCACTTAATAAATATAAAGACTTGCGCAGCACTCTCAAGGTCACTTTTTGAGATCCCTCTCGTATAGGTCCGCGCTCACCTTTAGTGAGTTAAGGAGCATTTCTAAGATAGTTAGCCAGTTTGACTTACAGCGCAAGTCTACATTTCTCATTTCTCTAGAGAAAAGCCCTTGAGTCAAAAAGGGAGAGACCTAACAAACCGCTTCTCAAATGTGCAACCTAGTCCATGGATCAAACCCGAGACCCCAGATCGAGGTGAGAGTCGAGTGTACTACAGCTACGCCACCTTTGATTGGTTTAGTGAATTAAAGTCGAAACAGTATGAATTAACGTCTAAGTAGAAGCTTTAGTGCAGTTTTCGTATGGCGGTGAAAAGCTCAGTGCCGTAAGCGTGACGTGCCGTGACCGTGATACTTTCTAGAATTTTAATAGGCTGATTTTTTTCACGCGCAATATGATTGGTCTAAAAGTGCCGTGATCTTGGCGTGACCGTGTCCGCGCCGTGTTTATGCCGTGTTCCGGGTATTTGATTGGATAAAGAGTCAATTCTCGTGCAATGTGATTGGTCTGGCGTATCCCTTGCTGTGTCACGACCGTGTTCGTGCCGTGAATTTTTCACAGTCATGCAAAAACTGCACTAGCAAAAACGTAAATAGTGATGAGTCCTACCTTTAGCTTCGCAGCGCTTGATCACCCTGTTTTGACACGGAAAAACCTCTTTGACGAAATTATAAAGTACTGAATCATATGAGAGCAGTTCACTTCTTGTATTAACGTGGTTATGAACACCATTAGTGGGTATCGCCTCGTCGTTCACATCAAAGAAGCTCTGCGTTCCTTCAGCAAGGTACTCCCTATCGGTGCTCATGGCGTAGGTTCGCGCCCACTTGGCTCCAGTTCGTTTCAGGTAGTTGTACCGAGTGCGAAGACGTCTGTCAAAGTCGCGAATAGCGCCATTGGAGGCGATGGCAATTTCATGGATTCCATGAGTGAATTCGTGGAGAAAGATGTCTTCACGGGGATATCGGTCGTTTCTTAAGTCACACATGATGTTTTCCTCTCCACCTGAGGAAAATAAAAGAAGAAAAAAAAAAGATATCAGTAGACCGTTTTCTCAAGGTTGCGTGCGCATCCAACTTGATGAGTCACAACACTGAAAAACGCAAATTCAGTAAAATTGAGAAGACAGTTTTGAATTCTTATTGAAAACAATTACATAGCATTGCATGATAATACTGGTGTTCTGGTATCGTGGCCAGTCAAGTTCCTTAAATTGGTATGCGCACGCAATCTTGAGAAAACGGTCAATGGACCTCTTTAGCTTGGGCGTAATGTTTTCCTATCATTACCTTCTCTTGCATAACGGCTAAATAGAGAAATGATACTCTAGAGAATGACACGTGTTCTGAAGTGGGAAATTATTAGGCCCAAATAAAGAGGGGTAGATCTGGGATTTTAAATTGGGGAGGACGTTCAACCAGGAGATAATAACGTTCTCAGAGATGCTACCTCCTTTGTTTACTGTATGAGGGAAACCCTGGACAGGAACGGGGTTGTACAACCATGTGTCCTTGAACCTCCCCAAGAACCACGCCGGATACAGGATTTTTGAACAGGATCAAGATACAGAGGTATAGTTATAGTTTTCGAATTAGAGAAATGGCTCATTTTCCCATCGACCCATCATTGGTTTTACTTATTAGGATTGGTTATAATAACAGACAAAGGGGAAATTGTCAAAATTGGCCGCTTAAAAGAGGTTGGCCGGTTTATATGTTGTTTTTTTTTTTTTGCTCTACCCTATATTACTTGAAAACAGACTATACTTACAGGTGGAGATGGGGTTCTGTATGGTACCTCCCAATCCTCTTGCTCTCTGATTCCACCAGCCAGGTAACCAGGAATGTTCAGGAATTGACGTAACACCTTCGCGAACACCAACGACACCAGCGCGACCCTTACGTTGGTACAGATATTGACGGATGTCTTTACGATCAGCTAATAGGAACACGACTATGTAACAGGCACGTCTGAGCGCCGCGTCACTTGGTTGGTTAGAACTGATGACGGGAATACCAAAAGCGTGGAGGTATTTCCTGTAGAAGGTGCTGAGACGTAGTTCTGAGCGTACATTGGCTGGGACCGGCCCAACTCGATCACATTCCCACGTGGTGGGCTGCGCTCCACGACGGTATGTAGGAGCACTTGCTGTAATGGAATAAAAAAGGTTTTTTTCTACATGACAAATGCAATGGAAGGTATTGTCTATTTTCGGCATAGAATAGATAAAATCCTAAGTTAAGATGGGTATGTGCAGTGCGCATTGTTTTTAGAAAAGGCTTAGCTAACGAGCTGAATATTGACCCGTCAGTATTGAACAGTAGACTGCGCGCAGTGGTCACAGAGATATTATCAAGGGCTAAGTAAAATCACTTTACCATCTGTTTTACTTAGTAAAGCATAGGCACAACAGTTGCCTACGACAGTTTTACATACCATAACGAAGAGTGGTCTTGGTGAGCCTTTTCAACTCTTCGAAATTCGCCGGCGCTGAAAAGTAAAGAAAAGATAATGAACAATTCCAAACTATTTTTATCTCCATGTATAATAAATAAATAATGATAAATGGGATTTAGCAGTGGCATTTCTACAGAGCAGCTATTCATCCACTGTAATTTCAATTGGAATTTAGGAGTTGATTTTTGCGGAGGGAGGAAAGCCGGAGAACCCGGAAAACCCTTGAAGCACAGGAGAGAACCAACTAACAACTCTACTCACATACGACAGCGAGCTCAGCGTGACTCGAACCCGGGTCGCATTGGTGAGAGGCGAGCGCGGTTATCGCTACGTCACCCGTGTATATGAAAAATAATATAAATTAAGACAGGATGCTTTGATATTAGGGCAATAGTTTAACGTCCTATTAAGATAATCTTATCTTGCTTTCCTTCCCTCTCCTTCCCTATCTCCATGCATATGAAATGTATATGAGGCCTTGATGCCATGTGATCATTAACTACATATCTTATAGGCACTCGGCCTGATAATGAAGCATCACATGTTGGTCGTCCAGGTTTTATTTATCTCAAACATCTCAAACACTAGCTGATTACTTGTCAGCATTTCTGTTATGCAGACAATAAGATGGCAAGAGTACGGGTTACCGGAGCTTGTGTCCCATCATGAAGGAACCTTAGGGGGAATATATAGATCGATAGAGTTACGATTACGCATCTGTAAAAGTATCAAGACCTTTGGTACCAATTATATATATTAATATCTCTTTCCCTCGAACTCTTGGGTGCTCCTTGGCAGTATAGTCTTCTTCGTTTGTTTGCGGGCCCACAGGTTAGTTGTATTGAAAGCAGGACGCTCTGTTAGGAACGCATAAACTATCCACCGAGGTAGATATTAGATATTTACAGAAATGATAAGATTACAAAGAACTTACTTCTAAGTTTTGACGCTTTGTTGCCTGCGTGAACTACAACCAGGAGTAAACACGATACAGCACAGAATACCCTCATGTTGGCGAGGATCACCTTGAAATCTCTGACTTCAAGCCCTTAATGTTAGCTACGATGTTCTGGAAGGCCTTGATAATGGACTAAATGACTGGCAAATAACTAGAGCTGTTAAATAATCTTTAGTGCGCATAATAGGTGGGGCTCAACGAACGTCATCGTTGCGATATTGTTCGGCGCTGTGCTGATAGTCGCCCGCTGTGTTGAACTCTGCGCGCTTCTTACATCTGAATCATTGTCTCTAAAACAAACACAGTGGAATTATTTCAACAGTTTTAAAATGTGCAGCTTGAACACATTAATAGTGCTAATGTAGTGGCAATTATTGTCCGTTCAGCTGTATACATCCACTTTTCTACTCAAATATCAAATGTGCTAGCATATTATAGGACCAGGAAGATCATTTTTCGCCTCCACACAGGCTCGATCAAATTTCATCTTCGTACTTCCGGTCACTACATGAGTGAGAAACAGCCTGACGCAACTTTATAATGCTCTTCAAAGGCGAGATCAAATTACTTATTTCGTAAGAGGGGGATCGACGGGGCGGTATAGTGATAGTCTCCCCCACACGTGAGTAGAGTTTGTCTGAGGTCTCTCTCTTGATTCGAGGATTTTCTCCGGGTTTTCTCCCTCCGCAAAACCTAACAAGCTAGTTTCAATTCGATCTGTGTGTTAGCTGTGCCCTGACTTTGATCAACTCAGAGGTTGCTTCTGGGTTCGATAAAATATGAAGGAAATTGGAAGGGTATTACTGATGGAATACACGTCATCTTCAGCTCATTTACCTTATGCTCAGGTCAGAGGTAAACCTGCAGAAAGGGAAGCGGAAGATGTTTTAGTAAAAAAAATATATGCCGAATATAAAGCAGAGACACACGTCTCGATACGTCTGTTTTTGGTTTTGTTTAGATATTTTTTAAGCATATACAGCTATTTAAAAAAAGGTTGAATACTGAATACTGCATAGTGAATTCCAAGACCGAAGTGCATTGTGGGATATAGTGACATTGTCTAAAGTAGGATTAATAATAATTATTTATTCTATTTTTAGTGTATTCCATCTGAAACAATTTACTAACTACATGTAAAGAGTTAGTAATTGCTGTATATTTACTTTTTATTTCAAATTAACACAACCCACAATGCCCTTTGGTCTTGGAATGCACTATTCAGTATGCAGTATTCAATATTCAACCTCCTGAAATAACCGTAGATACTTTTACTCGTATGATACGTGTGAATAAACCAAAATCTTATATTCAAATTTCTCACTTACCCTTTTTGACGACAGAACCGATTGATTTGTCCCAAAGACCCCCCCCCTCCCCCCCAAAAACAACAACAACAAAAATCAGTCGAGACCGTACTAATGTAGCTACTCAGACCCATACTCTTTTTAAATTCGTTAGGTAAACCGCTAGACGGGGCTGGATTGTGGTTAACATGGTCGTCACTATTTAAGGCTTTGAATTTATAGGTTTATAGCTCGGATCTCTTCATCCTCTAGTCTTCTTCGCAACTGTTATTAGTTTCCGTGTCAGAAACTAATGACGGCTGCGATCGGACTCATCCCCTACATCTAGGTAATTTTGCATTCCACGTACTTTGCTCCCTTAATCCCTCTAGATGGGTGAATATTGCACTTGGAAAAATATACTTTCTTACCTGGGAAAGGGATTGTTACCTGGGACGTTGAAGACACATGCAAATATGAAACGAAATATAAGAAATGACTAGTGGTTAGACTAGTTGGGACTGCGTCTGGTGTGGTCAAGAAACTATAGACATATAGAATAGGGATACCTTAACACCGTAAAAAAATTGGTACTATACTGACGTGACGTTCGTTCTTAGTCGGTGTAACAAGAGGTGCACATACATACCTCGAGGTACATACATACCGAGCCAGAGGGGCCGGAAATTACCAAATATTTTGCACTGTTGGTATATCAGATGATAGATCAAATGTCACGCAGCACGCTTACAGAAGTATTGCAATAAGTGTAATTTCATCCCCTGTGTGTGGTCGGATTAGTTCAAAACTGAAAACCTTTTTTTAATAGTACAAATAACATTAGACTTGCACCATGCAAAGTCTCTCTCGCTATAAACCTCAGGGCCGGGAGAACCTCGCTAAGCCAATAGTGGTGGGCGTTGAGCAAAAGGATTGATTAAGGGACCCCCAAAGCGAGCGAATTTGCTGTGATTTTTTTAGTCGCTCGGTATCGCTTCAAAAATACTGGGATATTTCTGAATTTAGCTTTAGTTGTAGCTAAAACATTTAGGCTTTCAACAGTTAATTTGAAATATTATTTTTGATTTGCGTTTGCCGTTACGGGCCGATTTTTCTAACAGTGGTTTTTCACGATATTGTCCTCCTGCTGGCTTAAAACTCGATAGATTTTCATGAAACTTCAGATTCTTGGTAAATAGATGGTCATAATTTTATCTCCCAAAATGAAGAAAATCTATCGAGAGCAAGTAGTTGTGCGGCAAAATAGGCCAACAAAAATAGCAAGAAAGATGCCGATAGATGTTCTTGAAACTTGGCAGACAGAAATATATATGACCACCTTATTGGCGTAACCACTAAACTCTACAAACTCGTTGGGAAGGAAACGCACGGAGACGCTAAATAAGGGTCAGTCTCGCAAACTCTCGTATTTGGTCTTGAATAGATGGCCAACCATATAATGGGGGAAACATTCAAAAAATGCAAGCGCATTCTATATGTTTCCCCCGTGATAAGAAATAGCAATCAACGTGTGAGTAACATTTATGCCCAGACGGAACTGAAGTAGACGTCGATTGAATAGTCTCTTGCATCTAATTAATACAATGGAAATAGTAATGGAACTAGGGTTAAGTGCAGAAAAGAAACTCTAATCTGCGAGAAGCTTCTTTAAAAATGAAATGATAATTAAAAAAAAGAGTAAATGAGATTGAGAGCAATGGTTTCCTTTCTCTGAATACATTTGGATTTTTTTWAAAGATGATTCGCCGCACTTAATCAAAGACGAATTTCAAATATTATTACTTCAGTAAAAAGGTTTAAGAACTAACGAAAAAACTATGCGAGATGAAGAAGTCTATTATAATGCGATAGACCAGTATATTGTCTCGATCCCATTATTGCTGTTTATGTATGTTCTAGTCGAATACAGCTGAATGCCTTTTAGGGAAATTACTGAGTAGCATTATTGATTATAACGTAAAGCCTTGAGTGCTCAAAAACAGCTGTGTATATGTTTTAACCGTTGAGGCACTATACAATGAGGGCTTTAATGGACATGAGTTAATACAGGAAATAGGTTTTTTGTATCTGGTCCATCTTTATAAATACGGAAAAGAAGGATTGAATCGAATGATAAAAAAGATAGAAATTAAGAAAGAAAGGAGGATAGACATAAAGAAATTAGGACAGAAAAAAGAAATCGAGACAGACAAAGAGAAATTAAGACAGACAGAGAAATTGAGACAGACATACAGACCGAAAGAAAAGAAAAGAAAAAAGAAAAGAAGGAAACAAGCAAGAAAAGCAAGCAAGCAAGCAAGCAAACAGGCAAGCAGGCAAGCATGCAGGCAAGCAAGCAAGCAAGCAAGGGCAGAGATCAAATGGAGGGATTCCATGTTTACTTAACATGGCCAGAACATTTTGTAAGAATATTTGTCATAAATAATACTGATTACTAAAGTAACAAATTCGAATCAGCTCAGTTTTACCTATATATATTGGTTAGGACTTTTCTAAACAAATCCAATATTTACATTTTCCTGGGTTTTTTTTAACTACTTTCTTTCTTTGTCTTTGTCTTTCCTTCCTTTGTCCTAAATCGGTCTCTCGGGCCCCTGTTGCTCAGACATGAGGGATCAAAAAGGTGTTGTTCTGCTTGCAGAGTATAACACAGGTGGTGGCGACTGTAAAATACTAAGTCTACTACTACGTCCGCGTTCATAATGTATGGCAGAAGGGGGGGCAGGTAAAAATTTGAAATGTCCAGAATAGTTCTTAACACCCCCCTTAAAGTCATGCAAAAAAAAAAA